ATACTTACCTGATTGGTAGCTGGTTTGTTGAAAAGTTGCTTTCTTGCAGCGCTATCTCGCGCTTCTGTTTGTGTAGAATAGTGCGTCCCTCTCTTTCCACTCTGAACACCCCTATTTTGCCACATTTAAAGTCCCTTAATTATTTACCTTCTTATCCTGGAACCATTTTGAATAGAATTACTGATGTACCACAACGGAATAAAAACCATACATGACTCCACTTTAAAATACAGTGCACCTTATTGCAGGGTGAATGCATTGCAGCGGCTGTTGGAGTTGAGTTGGGGTGCCACTTACATCAAGGTACAAATGTGAATAGACCGTCATTTATTTATGAGCTAGGTAATGTCATCGTTGTGTCATTTTCTCCACTTGATGACTGTCTTCACTGTGTTCCATGGTATATCTAATCCCTTGGAAATTCTTTTGTACCCTTCTCCTGACTGATACCTTTTAACCACCTACCGCGCCTGGCCATTGTATATAAACGACCGGATGGTGGCAGTGCAGGGGTGGGTGGCCGTTTATAAACGGCCTCCCCGCCCCCTGCTTTTGCGCGCTCCCTGGCACCACGATCCGGTGCCCGCAGTGATCACATGCAGAGTAGTAAGCAAGATGTCACTTTTGACATCATTGCTTACTACGTGTGAAATCTGTGAATGATCACAGATCACATGGCACAAGGCTATTCACAACAGCCTTGTACCATATGACAAGCTGTGACCAATCACAGCTCACACCATGTCTCAATGGCTGCAAGAATGCAGCCAGAGAGGAGGAAAAATGATTGCTTTTACAGCCTTTATGGGTATAAAAGCAATCTGTAAAAAAAAAAAAAAATCTTCATCACCCCCCACAAGTAGTACAGTGTCACCATGGTGACACTGTACTGCTAGGGTGACAGTATGTAAAATAAATAAATAATATAAAAAATATAAAATAAAAATGTAATTTGTTTTTAAATTATCATTTTTGCTTATAAACTAATTTGGGTTATTTTTTTTTTTTTTTATTTTTTTTACTAAAAAGATAACTGAATAAATTTTAGCCAAGATTTATGATGAAATATTTATTTGCAAAATTTTATAAGAAACTTTTTTTTTTTTTTTCAAAATTTGTGGACTTTTTCATTTATATAGCAGTAAAAATAAAAATCTCAGTGGTGAATAAATACCACCAAAATAAAGATTTCTGTCTCAAAAAAATGCTAAAAAATTCATATGGGTACAGTGTTGCATGACCATGCAATTGTCATTGTGATAGCGCTGAAAATTGGCCTGGACAGGAAGGGGGTAAAAGTGTCCAGACTTGAAGTGGTTAAGGCTCCATGCACACGGTGTTTTGATAACGCTGGTAACGTTAGCTGTGTAAAGTCACGTTAAAAACGCGTTTCTCAGCTTAATTTAGCATTTTTGCATTCGTGTTTAGCTGCGTTTTTTTACAAAAAAAATATATTTTTGGGGCAAAAAAAGGTCCAAAAATGCTGGATTGTGGTGTTTTGCTGCATTTTTTACAGCTAAAAAAAAGCTCTCCTAAAAACCCACTAGTCCTGGGTTTTTTTTTCCAGCCAAAAAACATTGATTACAGTCTATATGTGCATGGACACATAGGATAACATGCTGGGAGGTTTACTAGCGGTAGAAAAAAAACCATCAAAAGCCAAAAACAGCAGCTGTAAAAATGTCAAGTGTGCATGAGGACTAACCATGAGATCCCTATGATGCTTTGGAAGCTTTCTGTGGACCATGGTTTTTTGCTGTAGGATGCGACTAAGAAAATGTCAGGAAAGCCTTACTAGAACAGCTAAAGTTTTATTTGGGGTAATCAGAGGCACTTTAAATGATGGCAGGTGTGTACTGACTCTTATTTAATGTGATTTTTGAATGTGATTGCTTAATTCTGAACACAGCTACATCCCGTTATAAGAGGGTGTGCACACTTATGCAAACATATTTTAGTTTTTTATTTTTACTTCCCTCCACTGAAAAGATTTCTGTTTGTTCAAACGAGTTGTACAGTTTATAGGTTACATTTTAAAGGTGGAAAAAGTTCTGAAATGATTTTCTTTTGTCTAATTTTTTTACATCACAGAAATGTGACATTTTACCAGGGGTGTGTAGACTTTTTTTTTATATCCACTGTATGTGTACAGGGATAGATGATGCATCAAGTAGAGCTGTGACATTTCCTCCTATGTTTTTAATATATATTTTTTTGCCTTGTGAAGAGGGATTGGCATCTCAGGTTCACTTTTTTTTTTTTTAATTTGCACAGCTTCTTACCTTCTCTCTTGGTGAATGTCCTATTGTGCTTTGCACCATGATGATTCTGATGTGGTTATTTGGGCTATAGCACTTGACTTTTTTTGCTCAATAAAAGCCACATGCACGCTGGATGTTTTTTACATCCGCTCCTATGGGCTTCTGGCGCTTTTTCTTCCCTTCATGTTAGCCTATATGTCCATGCACACATAGGCTTTCAGCAGCATTTAGAGACGGGAAAAAAAACCCACTACCAGTGCGTCTAGCAGCATCAAGTGTTTTTTTTTTTTTTTCTGCCAAATACTTTGCTGCTCATGTTTTTGCAGCCACTCCTAAGGGCATCTGGCGTTTGTTTTTCTTTCTTTTTTTCCCTGCTTCTAAACTTCCCTGCATGTTAGCTTATATGCCCATGCACATATAGGCTTTTAGAAGCATTTAAAGTCTGGGATAAAAAAGAAACCCACTGTCAGTGCGTCTAACAGTATAAAGTGTTTTTTTCTGCCAAAAACTTTGCTGCTCATGATGTGCGTAAACATTAGGAGAATTTTTTCATTTCAATAGCCAGAATAAATAAAAATTCTGGCCAATGAAATTGGCCAAATGCTGCTAAAATGGTTTAATAAAACGCAGCTTAGGTTCATTTTCAATGCTGATTTTCTCCTGTCAGGAGAGACATCGTTTTACAATAAATCATTGTGCATTAGGCCTAATATTAAATTGTTGGCATTTTCCCATCTAAAAAGTACACTTACTTTTGAAGGGTATTCTAAAGGCTTTGAAACACTTCCTGTTCAGCTCAGAGCTCTCATGAGAATTTGAATGTGGACTAGCTTGATGGGAGGGCTCCAGAGATTTAACCCAAATTTTGTGCTTTTAATGTAGTTGTATAGCTTTCTTGCTGTGCACTATAAGTAAGGGTAGATTTAGACATGCATCCACCTCTGAAGCCTGATCTGTGTTCGGCTCACGCTTCATAGGCTACTGACAGGCAGAGAGGAAGTGATACAATGCCTCCTCACCGCCTGTTTTAACCCCAGTTGTGCCGACAATCGCGATGCAAGCAGATGCATTTGTGTTGCTTCCCCATTGACTTGCATGTGTAGTGTTTGGTGGGCTTGCTGCCCACATAATGATGTGTTTTGGGTCAACTCAGTCATGAAATGTTGTGGCATGAAAACATCCCTGTCTGCTGCTTATTGCTGCTTAAGGGGGGAGGTTGGGGAGGTTAGGGGTTAGCAACAACGTGGCTCAACCATGCTATTTTACTGCATTCCAACCACTAGTCTAAATAAGGCCTAGATTTTTTTTTTCAGGTGCTTATATAGCGCCATCAATTTACGCAGTACATCTATATAATATTATATATATATATATATATATATATATATATATATATATAATATATATATATATATATATATATATATATATAGATAGTACATTCACATCAGTCCCTAACCCTCAAGGGGTGTACAATCTAAGGTCCCTAACTGACATTCATACATACACATACTAGGGCCAATTTAGACAGGATCCAATTAACTTAACAGCATGTCTTTGGAGTGTGGGAGGAAACCGAGTACCCGGAGGAAACCTACGCAGACACAGGGAGAACATGCATTCTCCAGGCAGGTGGTGCCGTGGTTGGGATTCAAACCAACGACCCTAGTACTGCCATGCGGAAGTGCTTACCATTTAGCCACTGTGCTGCCCAAGATCTAGCATAAAATTAAATACAAAATGTACTTAACTTTAATAGACTAGGCACCAAACCAATGGCACTCTGTATAGAGTGAAGGAAATAAGTATTTGATCCCCTGCTGATTTTGAATGTTTGCCCACTCACAAAGAAATGATCAGTCTAAAAATTGAATGGTAGGTGTATTGTAACACTGAGACAGAATAGCAACAAAAAATTCTAAGGAAATGCATGTCTAACAAATTATTTCCCTCATGAACATGCAAATCAGTGCATCATTTGTTAGACATGCATTTCTTTTGCATCTTTTGTTGCTATTCTGTCTCAGTGTTACAGTACACCTACCATTCAATTTTTAGACTGATCATTTCTTTGTGAGTGGGCAAACATTCAAAATCAGTAGGGGATCAAATACTTATTTCCTTCACTGTAAGGACTTAGAAGTGCATGTCAGGTTAGTACTTTGACATTTTCCCAAGATGAGGTTTGTGGTGTGTGTGCGCTTTGTTGACAAGTGAGTGCGCTACATTGTATTTTTGGGGTTTCTGCAAGGACCATGAGCTTCAGTTGAGGATTGTACATACTGTGTGCTTGAGGTTAAGAGCTCCTTGAGATCACACTGTCCTTCAAGTGTTTTATTACAGTTACATTTCCCTATTCATGCTCTGTTTCCCTGTGACCTATGCAAACAATTATGTTGACTTTTCAAAAGGTGTTTCTGCATGTGTGTACCATATCTGTGTGTACAATATCGCCAGCTACTTTTTAAAAATGTCTTTAAATGCAGTGGTATCTAGACTTGTCTTTACTTATTGGTAACTTGATCGGTTGTTGTGGTTTTTTTTTTTTTTTTAATTTTTAGAATTTGCGTAATTTGCTCAGTAACTGAGGAAGCATAAATGATCTAGAAACGAGACTGAAACTCTTCTCTAAAAACTCTTTCCCCTCTTGGCTTTCAGGTGGCGACAGACAAGGTTGCAGAAAAACTGAGTTCTACTCTCTCATGGGTGAAGAACACGGTGTCACAAACTGTCAGTCAAATGGCAAGTCAGGTGGCGAGTCCATCAGCCTCCTTACACACTACATCATCGTCGACCACTCTATCTACTCCAGCACTTTCTCCGTCTTCCCCGGTACAATTGAGTCCAGATGACGTTGAATTACTGGCCAAATTAGAGGAACAAAACCGGTAAGAAAGATCATTAAAATGCAAATTTTGTTGTTTTTTTTCCCCTCAGGCGATTAGCTTTTACATACGCACATTGAAAGGGATCCGTATGTGATTACAGATTGCTGGCTTACATGGATGGAAAAAGGTGAACTATACTTTTAAAGTGCATGTAAACCTAAGAAGACAAATGCGATTTAATTGAAGCTTACTAGTACTTGGATGTGGTGGCTGCATTCATTTTCTTGTTTTCAAGATGGTATTCCTTTTTCACCTGTGATCTTGTCATTTAACCACTTCCCATCCGGCCTATATATATATAAGCAGCTGGACGGGAGCAGTGCAGGAGCAGGTTGCTGTTCATAAGCGGCGCCCGCATTTACAACCTGTGTGCCTTTCCTGGGAGTGCGCAGCACCGCAATCCGGTGTCCGCTGTGTTTTGCACTGGGGGCACTCTGAAATGGGAACATGCCAGAAACACTGGCTGGGGACCTGAAATGAGGAGGATCGGGGCTGCTCTGTGCAAAGACATTGTAAAAGTATAATGTGCTTTATTATTTTATAAAGGAAAAAAAAAAAAATCAAACCTTTAGAACCACTTTAAGATCAGTCGTATTCTGACACTTCACACATATATGTAAAAAAATTAGCATTTTTTGCTAAAAAAAATTACTTGGAACCTGTCAAAACGAGGTACCCCCCTCCCCTCCAAAAGGTGCCAATTGCGGCAGCGGGGGGGGGGGGGGGAGGCAGACAAGCAGATCTTTCCCTTCTGGGTGGAACTCTGCTTTAACACGCTTTCTATCCTAGGGTGACAGCTCACTGTGGTGAAATTGCATTGTCACTCTTGGACAGAAAGTATATCAAGACTGCAGAACACTTCTCCCACTCCTCATCCCTATTGTAGGGAGATGGTGTCCTGTAGTTGTAAGAGATAATCTGGTCAGGAAGATGAGACTTGAGCTAGGACTACAGAGTGCACAAGACAACACCAGGGTCCTGACGGGATCAATAGAGTATCTTTTTTGCATTTTGTAAACAGATAGATATAATTTGAGCTTGTATTTAACAAACCCAAAAAAGAGAAAAAAAGCCAAGTTCAATGTTGGGTCACTTTGACTTGGGATTTCGAAAGGACTATTTAATTCTATGCTAGGATTATATATAAAAATATAGATAGTCTGGCAGAAACGAAAGAAATTGCAAAAATGTTTTAGGCTTTTACAAAGCATGCTTGTGCATTGTGATTTAGTATACTAAACAAGGAACTAATTGTAATGAATAGGTTGCCTTTAAATTGAGTTTTAGAGCTTCTCGCTCAGGCTAATTAGCTTTTACTGTAATTTTAGGGCCTGAGTCAACTGGCTTTGAACTTGTTTTGATGACATCTGTTTAAAGTTGAACTGCACTGCATGTAAGCACCACAAACCAAAAATGCTAATTAACCACTTCCCTCCAGAGGATTTACCCCCCCCCTTCCTGGCCAAGCCATTTTTTGCATTACGGTGCTGTGTTACTTCAATTGACAATTGCGAGGTCATGCAACACTGCACCCAAATGAAATTTACGTCTTTTTTCCCCCCCACAAATTGAGCTTTCTTTCAGTGCTATTTGATCTCCTATGCGGGTTTTTTATTTTTTGCGCTATGAAAAAAAAAGACATTTTTTGAGAAAAAAACAATTAATTTTGACTTTGCTATTAAACATGTCCAGTAAAAAAAAATTTAAAAATCAAATTTCATCATAAATTTAGGCCAAAACGTATTCTGCTACGTCTTTGCTAAAAACAAAATCCCAATATGTGTAAATGAATTGGCTTACGTGAATATTATAGCGTTTACAAATGATGGTGTGTGTGTGTGTGTGTGTGTGTGTGTGTGTGTGTGTACTGGAATTTTTTAAAATATTTTACTAGTAATGGTGGCGATCAGCGACTTATAGCAGGACTGCGGCGGGCATTCTGACACTGGTGGGAACTGACTTCGTGTCACTGACATCTTCAGTGACACCAATACAGTTATCAGTGCGAAAAAAACCCACTGACACTGTACTAAGGGCACTGTGCAGGAAGGGGTTAAACATGAGGGCCGACCAAAGGCTTAACTATGTGCTGGTGTGTTTTACTATGGGGCCATGTGTCTGTGCTTCACTGTAAGCACACAGCCATGCAAAGCAGTGTGCATGAGCTGACATGGAGGAGAACTGTTTTGTTTACAAACAGTTCTCCTCCCTGTCGGAGATGCTTGGCAATCACCGGGCGGCGTGAATAATCACTGGCTGGGACAGGGAAGCTGTTAATTCATTGTTAATATTCAAAGCAATCTCCCCCATTCATTAATGTCTCCATGCTTTATTTTGCTGAGAAATCATTTTGAAAAGCACCCCCTAGCATTTCTGGCTGTGGCCATCTTGAGTAAGGGCAGATGATTCATGTAGCATTTCCTTCCTGGAATCCATATACCCTTAGCTCAGGCATTGGCTGAGCTGAGAACCCTCTCCCTTCCTGAAGACTCCTGAAATCTATGACATCATTTTCCTAGGCATGGAAACTAGGAAATGTAAAAAAAAAGTTTAAAACAAGTAAACATGATATACTTTCCTATATATATATTTACTAATACTAGAAGCATAAGGATTAAAAATTAGTCCATGTTGATTCAGAGAGTGAACTTCCACTTTAACATTGGTGTTACATGCTGCTGGGGTCATTCAGAATTCATGAACAGATCTAATTATCCTGCAGTGGGCCGCCTTTTGGCCTGTGTGTTGACCTGCTTCATGTAGGTTTTGCATTTCTATAGATTTGTATGGAATTGCAATACCCAATACAAAACATTGTTTCCTATAGGTCACGTGCACATCTGTGCGTTTTTTTTTTTTCCACCGATGATTTTTTTTTTTTTTTTTTAAAAAGGGTTAAGGACACCCCACCCCACAGCAGGTTGTGTTTTTGGTTCCATAGACTTCAATGGAAATGCATCAAAAATGCTCTGTTTGCGTTTTTGATGCGTTTCTGTTGGTTTCTCCCCAAGACAAGACTTCTCTCAAGTAAGCAAAACGCATAAACACAAATGCATCAAAAACGCATGTGAAGACTGCAAAACTGATCAACCACAACTTGCAAAGATGTGAATTAGGGCTACGTAAGCTTTTTTTTTTTTTTTTTTGTCTAAATATATTTAGTAAGAGATGTATTGGTGTTACCCCTGGTTCACATATCTGTGGTCCGTGTCTTGCGCGGGAACGAGAGCCCATTCATTTGAATGGACTCCCATACCCCGGGACACGCACTTCTGAAAACGCAGCCTGCACAGGAACCTCGGTTCCCAGTACGGTTGCGATTTCCAGTGCGGGCGGCATGCCATTAAAACTAATGGCACCCTCCCGTGGGTCCGCATTCTTCTGTGCGGGTTGTGTGGCTGCACGGATTTTTGTGCGAATCCTCAGCGGCACCACCCGCACAGATGTGAACCTATCTTTAATGCTGGCCGGCTTCACTTTATCACTGGTGCATATGATTGCAGCAACAAACTGCGATCGTTTGCATTTTTGAGTGCTAAACCGCTGTTCTAATCACCTGCATCTTGATTGCTTGGTCACATTTGATTGGTTCAGACAAAGATCAGTTTTTCTCCTGTGTAGAGGACATTAAAGGAAATCTTTATTCCAACCCTGGAAATTGATTTTGTTCTTTTTTTGTGCTCCGGTTATTTTATTATCCTCTTTTTATTCCTTTGATGTCTGGTTAAAGCATTACGGGGCAGTCATTTTCAGACCCTTTGGCATAAGCACAATGGAAAGAACGTCGTATGTAACCATTGTGATTATGTTCTTACCAATGTAAAGTATTAAAGCTTCTGGAGCAAGAGCTGCTGTGAACCTGTTTTGAAATTCTAATTACATGTTGACAGAATGAGTTCAGCTTACTTGAGGTTTTATCCTTGTGCTTACTCATGTATTTTTAAATGATGTTCAGTGTTTTGGCATCAAAGAAATCCCGGTGATTTCTGTTCCCTTTGTGTCTGTGGTGTAATATTACTTGGAATCCATTTTCCATTTCCTGTCATTATTTGAGGCTTTACCATTGAAATAACAGTTTGTTTATATCTCATGTGATGGCAGGTATTGTATACTGATGACTGACTGCATTATGGACACGAGGCTGTTTTTTTGTTTTCACAAGTTTTCATCTATGTAGTGTATGTAATAATGTGCACTTTTTTTTTTCCTCTGAATTCTAATGAATCAGCAGGACATATGTTAGTATAATGCAAAGTAAAAAATGTACCTTACTTGTTTTATTCTACATTCACATGGCCGCCGGTGAGAATTGGTTGATTTTTGCAGGTGATTCTAAACGCTGCCTTGATACATTGCAGCAGCTGTCAGCGGTATGTCAGATTTGTACTTGGTGGTCAGTGCTGGGGCTGTTTTCATGTAACTGCTCATCTAAGTAGTTAAATACGAAGAACCTCCAACTAATCGTGGACAGGACAGTGTATGTCCAAAGTCTGCAGAGTTTTGGCTGCAGTTAATCAGCCAGTTTGTATTTGGCCATGGCACAGACTGTTGCTGCATCTAGAAACAGTGAGCAGTTGCCTCTGAACACTGCAACTATGAGCCACTGGCCACCTTGATAAATTTAGATTAAAGGGTAACAATTTTTTTTTTTTGCCAATTTTTTTCCCACGAAAAAGATAAAGTATACAATTGCGACTCAAGTTGTATTGTAATTGAATGTCATTCATGAAGAATTACTTTTGCTTTTCAATCAGCGGCACTGTCATTTTCTGTAAAATGCAGTATGGCAACCTGGAGGATTTCTGTACACTGTGTACTGAACGCCCCCCTGAAAATGTAATTTCCTGCTTGTGTGATTGGCTCAGTGATTTTTCCAAAAAGTCTGCACTAGGATATAAGTCAGATTTCTGGCATCCCCTGCAGCAGAAGTGTCATTCTTAGATTGTAAGCTCCAAGGAGCAGGGCCCTCCTAGCCCTCTTGCATTGAACTGTATTGTTGC